CAAAGTGGAGGTTCCCGGCAGGTTTTTCTCTCCCTCCAGCCGCCCGGGAGGCTGCTCCGGGAGCTGCGTCCTGGGCGCAGGGACCACCAGCGCTGGGCTGCAGGCTTGCACCCATGCTGATGGGCTGGGAAAGATGGTCTGGGATGTGATGGGACTCAGCACATGGCTGAAGGTGTCTAACCAAGCTTTGAACTGGTTAGACAGTTCATCTAAGCTTGTAGGCAACCTCCACCCCCTCTGTCTGCAGTACGGTTAGACAGTATGCAACACAGCGGGACTTGCAACGCTGTCAGTCTTGGTAGCTATTGAATGTACTTATTCTTCAATTACATGTCACTGCAATGGGCCATGGAGCCCAAATACTGCTGTGCTTTCAAAGGAAAACAAAAAAGCATTTAATTTTTTAAGTAAAGATATTCCAAAGTGCTAAGTGCTACAGCAGAGCAATTGCAGCGCTGCTCTGTCTCCTTGCCCAATGACACAGGGTTTTTTTCAGCTGAATACCAGCAAGCACATGATTAAAAGCTCCTAGGATTCTACGGTTGTGGGATTTCCAGCAGAACTTGCTATTTCTCTCCTATCTTGCCCCTTTGTTTCCCCGAGTCCAGGGCAGAGTCTGAATTCGGTAATTGCCACCTGCATTTCCTTTGCTGTCTTCCCAAGGAACTTGTTTGAATAAATTGAATTGGCAAATGTATTGTTCAGCCACAAAGCGTTGTGTCAGGAATAGTGTAGGTATTACCAGTCTCTGTATTACAGCGCTGAGCGCACTGCCAGGGACAGCAAACCGATGCAGGAGAGCTCCCTTTGAGCAGCTCCCTCTGTTTCCTCTTCAGAGAGAAGTGCACGATTTTTTGGCTGGTTGCTCCATGCTCTAAAGGAAGAGCAGAAGGAGCTACTTGGAGCTTACTCGGTGTGTGCAGAAACTCTCATCCATTGGGGAATTTTCTGCTAATAGTTTCCTATGGCTTGTACTTGTGTTTTCTTCATTAGGTGAGACTTGGGTGCAGCAGTCACCTTGTTTTCCGTGGAGCATCTGAGCAGTCAGTCCCACTGAAGCCAACGTTAGGTCTGTGTCAGTAGAGCTCAGGGCAGAGTGGTGGGGACAGGCAGGTCCTGAGGCTGTGCTCCCTGAGCAGTACAGGGCATTCAGCTGTAGGGCTTTGCTGAAGGACCCCAAGCACTGGGCTAGGCATGGAAACTCGGCAATCAGGAGCTCAGGAGCCTAATCAAGGCACTAACCAGGTGCTGGGCAAGTTCTTTGGGTTGGGGACTGTCACCCACCGCATTTCTTTTCTGCACTGGTGCTCCCAAGATAGAGGTGATCTGAATGTGCCAAGGCATGAAGTTTGAAGTTCCTCAGGGATATAGGCTCACCTGAATCCTCCCTACCTTGACATGATCAAGCTCTATGGGAGAAACAAGCTCTCCTGCATGTAGGTCCCTGGAGGGTGGGGGCACAGTCAGTGCATGCCGGCAGCTCAGCACACACCAGCCAGGCGCAGTCACCACCATGACACCGACATTTCTCCCAGTGCCAACAAACGACTGTGACAGCAGGGACAGGAGCCCAGGACACCCCCGAGGAGAGCTGTAACCAGTGGGAGATGGCACCGCGGCTCTGCAAACCTTGTGCACTCAGCTATAGGGTGACCAGATTTCTGCAGGAGATGCAGAGGGCTCTCATAGGCGACTGGTCCCGCTGGGAGGATGCTCCATGGGACAGGGCAGTGGCACCACCTCCTCCCTCAGCTGGGTCTTACAGAACGGAGGGCTGCCCAGTTATTAAAAAAAAAAAAAAAGTTCAGTGGGGGGATTTTGACGATGGGCCTGCTCGGAGGCCTGCCAGGTGGGTAGGGTCCTGCAGAAGCTCCTTGGCCGCAGAGGTGACCCCGCCGTGCGGGTTAGCAGTGACATGGTGCCACCTCGTGGCACGCGGCTCCGAGCGTCACGCGGCCTTGTCCTTGTGGGATGGACATCTTTCCAAGGGGAGCATCACCCTGCGGGTGCTCCACCGCCTCCCAGGGCTGCCTGGTGCCTCCAAGGACGTGGCTGCACCGCGGGCTGGTAAAGGCCACCAGTAAACGGGTGGTTGGGACCCCTGGGTGAGGGATTACTCTCTGGAAAACAAGGGAAATAGCTAAAACTGTTGTCCTACCCCCTAGTCCGAGTAGTGGCTGCAAAGGAGGGTATGACCCAAACTCATGCTGTCCAGCTCGGAGCCATCGCTTTTGGAGATGATTTCTTTAGGGCTGTCTGCCCGCTATGGGAGCCATGCATTAAGGGGGTCTCCTCCACTGCTCAGCTAGTCCCCCCCGGATCTATTCTTTTTCCCTCTGGCTCCCAAGCTCTGCCAGGACTCCCCTGACCACGCTCCCCTGTTAACCCACAGGAGACCCGCTCATCTGCACCAGAGATGGATTTATTCCCGTTCTGTACCCACAGCATAAACCAAAACCCACTTATTAGGGTTCAGGTTTATTTCTTAGTGCTACAAAATGGGAAAGAAGGATGGCTCTGTTTATCTACATTAAAAAAAGAAAAATAAAGACAATGCTGAGGTTTGGCACTGCTGTTAAATCATCATCAGTTGAAGTACTTAAGGATAGAGTCTCAGTTTTCAGTGAAATGCTTTAATTTGAAACCACGAATGCCATAAATAAGGAGGATTTGGGGTCTAACTTCCCTTGCTGATTGATGGCATCATGGTAGTGCCTAGGATATCTGGGGCTCAGTAGTTGTGGACTGGGTCCTGTTGTGCCATTTGCAGTATGGACCCAACAAAAAGACAGTTGTTATCCCAGGGAAGTCTGCCACGGAGACCCCTAATCTGTTTTCTGCTAGGTATCAGCAGCTGACATTATAAGACACTAGTGTTTGATCTGTGACCAGAAATCACTTGATAAGGGATTTATTTTTCCACTACTATTAGAAAGGCTGTTGCAATGTTTCCCACCCTTTGAGACAGCCTTTTCGGAGCTACGTGCCCTCTGTACCTGTCCCGCTGCCAGTTCGGTTGCCAACTGTGCTCTTTCCCTTTGGATTGGGACATTCCCAAACAGCAAAGCAAATGGCTCGATTCTGCTGATTTTTTTGTTCCTCCTATACAGTACACAGTGATACTGAAGAAGGAAAAGCCTCTTCTTTCTAAAAGGACGCTCCTTTTAGAGCATGCTGTCTGGATGCTCTACAAGGGGGTTGGAGAGACAGTGGGTATCAGAGGCAGTGGGAGGTATGGTGGGTTTTACCTCTAAAACACCAAATCTGAGGTTTCCACTGGAGGGCTAAGAGCTGGGGATCAGGAGCACTTGGTCTCAAATTGAAGTTCAGTCTACAAAGCAAAGCTTTTTTTTTTAGTATAACCCAAGGAGAGAATTTAACACTCCCATACAGGTATATATCACCAAAAATTAACCATCAGAGGAGGCCCTTTCCAGTTTACTTTATCATTTAGGAAGTGGGTTTTAAACAAGAGACTCTTCTATCGAAGAAGTGAGTTCATGCTGGTATAATGGTACCTGTGAAAATCCAGCAGCGTAACAGTGGCTGCGGCGGTGAGCCCTTAGGCACTTAGCAAGGATTTGCCAAGGAGCCTAAGGGCTGATACACCCTTGAAACTCAATGGGATTTAGGTGCCTAAATGCACTAGGCTGCTTGGAAAATCCCAGCCTTTGAAGTTAGAGTAGGCACTAACAAAAAATGGCTAAAAAAATTTAAAATAATAAAAGTCAGGCTAACGCTGCTGTGAAGGCCGTGGGTGCTCTGAGTTTTGCACCTGAAACAAGGCAGTGGGAGGTGGCCACCAAAGGCAACCGAGAGGCTCCACCAGCATGAGGGTTCAGAAGAGCTCCATCCCTGATGTCTCCCACCCCATCAGGAATTGCAGGATGACCCCTCCGAACCATTTCCACTTCCAACGGGTATCTGCTTGTGTGGGAATGATCCAGGGCATCTGGCTGGGGACATCCGCCTTGTGAGAGTGTATGAGGAAAACATTAAAAATCTCTTTTTTTCGTTGATAAGAATCTTAGGACATTAAAAGTTGGAGAACTCATCTTCATTATTTCTCTTTAAAGTTACTTATGAATTGAGAACAGCTCTGCTCATATTTCTCTTTTATTTGCTATCTCCCCAGGCTAAAGTGTTGTCTATTTATCTTACAGATTAGGTTATTTTTTATGGGGATCCTGCTATTATATTTCACCTCTAACTTTGTTAGTTTGTGTTTGATATTAAATTATGTTGAATAAAATGGGCAGCTCAAGGATATTTTTCAGCTTCATCCTGAAATGAGGTTCTTAATCCTGTTTCTGGGTCTGCCCCTGTAGCCCAGCCCACGGGGACAGGATTGGGTATGTAAGAAGGGCAGCAGAGGAGTGTTTGTATTACCTACGGGCTTTGCAGGGTGAAGCTGCAGGAGAATCGTGCCTGTAAAAGCAGTCGGTTCGTGTACAGTGATTTTGGAGGCATCTCTTTAGAAATGCGTTCTAATAATATTGACATCATCACAAGATAAGATCCAGGACTAGTTAAATCACAGCCTCACAACTCAGTGCTCCTTTGGGGATTAGAAGAAGTCGCTGAGCTGTCACTCTAAAGCTGATCATGGGCTCGTTTAACTATGTCATCCCATAAGACAGCCCTTTCAATTATGTCAACCTGTCTGCTCTCCCTAGACTCTAATTTTAGAGCAGCAGTAGCTAATATTCTTGGAAAACTGATCCGCCTCCACAGATCTCTCCTCTCTTCTGCTGCTGTTAACGGAGTATCCTGTGGGGAGATCGGACTGCTTTACTTCCCTTCCTGTAATAAACCTAATAAAAATAGGTACCATTAGGTTCCTTTGTGTGTGGTCTCTTTAAGACACTTATCTGAGCTATGTAATGGAGATGTCACTTCTCCTCCACAGAGGGATCTGGCAGCACCACAGGGTCATTGCAATAAAAATAAAATTCAGTTTTAAAAGCCTGGTACGAAATTATGAGCCAAAAAGTGGGACGATGGGATTGGAGTTGAGAGACCTGGAAGAGGCAAATGTGAGCTGGAGTCACCCGAATGTTAATGCTGCAGCGGTGGCTCCACAGCTGGAGCAGCAAGCAGGATGCTCCCGGATGGCGCAGGAGTACCACAGGCAATGAGGTGGCCCTGGGGACCCCGGGGACAGGGGACTTGTCCGTGTCTTCTGGACGGTGCTGGGAGGATTTTGGGGCACACAAGGCGGAGAGGAGGTGGATGGACCTGGCTGTCTCGGCCACAGGCATCTCTGTGCTGTGCTGCCCATCGTAACACACCTTGGTGGGAAGGGGACAGACCCTGCCCCGAGAGATCGGATGGAGCCAGCCACATCCCTGGCTCCCCATCCATGACATGTCCGTAGCCGGCAGCAATGCAGGACAGTTGTCCCCCTGCCATGCCATGAATGTCCCCCTGCCCTCGCAGGCTGGCAGCACAGGAGGAAACGAAGCCACCCTTGGGCTGTCCCATTTGGGTTTTTCATCGTGTTTGCCATGGCATTCAAAAGCAGCAAGGACTTTCTCCAGCCATGCAATTAGAGCTGTCATGGCAGAGTGGATGGGGAAGGCCTTTGAAGACCTTCTCTCTCTCTTCTGGGCAGTGTGACAGTCCCTTCGGCCGGGTCAAGTCTCCCTTGGCCATTGCTCCTCCGTGCTTGGCCTCCAGCAGGCTGGACTGGCCATACTGGAGGACAGTGGTGTGCAGGTCTGAGGCTGTCAGAGGATTTTCTGTTTTCTGCAGAGCAATTCTAGCCTTCTCCAAAATAATGACTCTCGGGGGCCCTGTTTGAAGGAGCAAACATCTGTGAAGCTGAGGAAGGCTGTGGTCCTCTTCAGAGGGGGAATAAACCCCTTTAGGATGCAGTGTGGGTCCTAAGGCAGACCATGCTGGTGAGGTGGGGTGGATCGTGGCGTGTAACCCTCAGCAGAGCCACCAAGAGGCCATCCCAGGTCCCACGGGAGAGGGAGGGACAAAGAGCAGAACCACAGGAAAAAGCAATAGCCCTCCTCCCTGAAAACAACTAGAAAAGGAGTAAAACGGGTGGAGGGAAAAAGAGGAGGCAGAGAGACCGTGCAGAGACAAGGCAGGGAGGTGACCCCCATCCATCCCACCCAGCATGACCACTCTGGTGGCAAAGGCCAGGCCTTCCCTTTGCAGATCAGGTTATACAAAACCCACACGCCGCGGGCTGCTGGGGAAGGATACCTCCCCTAGACTCCAGCAAGTTAGTTACACGTAGCTTTCCTATCATAAATCCATGTTGGCTGCCCCTAATCAAATTCTGCTTCTCAAGCAATTTCCCTTGCTAATTCCTCCTGAATCAGTTCTAACCCACCTATCCCCCTTGTCGCTAAGCTAGCCAGCCTCTAATCACACGCTGCACTGTGTGATCCTTTCCCGAGTAATACGGGGTTCGGCACTTTCCTCCAGTTCTCAGCAGCCTAACCTGTCAGGAGCAACCTTCTAAAAATATCACTAAAGACCTCGGCTAATTTCTAATCCTCGTTTCTATTAAGACGGCTGCCTGTACTATTGGGTTTCTAGACTTGGGATTTACAGTCTTCCTTAAGAGCGTCTAATCTGCGCAGAGCCATTTCTGTTGTTATCCATACGCAGGCTCCTCCCTTCCCCACCATAAAACGTGATCCCTTTGGCAGTGGCTCTCCAGTCTGCAGGGCAGCATCAGCCAGCCAGCGAAGACACCAGCCTCTTCCGCTCCGCCAAGCTCACCCCGCCGCCTTTTGGCAAGCCTTCCCGGGGAGATCACTGGGGTCCTGGTCCTCTTGGGCGCTGGGTAGGTGCTTTGTATGAGAAAAATCAGCCTGCGAGCTCAGCAGGGCAAGTGATTTTCTTTGCACTTCCCAAGTTCTCGAGTGTTGTGTAAATAGTATAACGGAGCTGGTGTACAGATGCATAATGGAGCGAAGTTCCTGAAGTACCTCATATAACTGGACTTTCTATTACTGTTTGTATTTAGATTTTTTTTTGCTGTTTCCTCCTTCTTTTTAACACTCCCTCGTCCCCAACTGTCAAAACCAACCGGGTCGGAAGAACGCAGTGGGGGAGAGTGCCATGCTCTGGCTGCCCCCCACTGCCCTGGTAGACACTAGGTAGCTGGCTCAGCTCAGGCAAGGGAAATCCTTATCATCACATGCCATTGGCCAAAGGAATCTGGTGGAAGATGCTGCGTGACTGTATTGTCAAGTACCAGGCACCTCTGCGCACTAAAAGGAACACCGACTGCTAAGGCTCTCCCTGGGCTTGAGGCCACCAGGGTTTGCATTGAACGCGACTCGAGAGGCAGGTTCTGGAGCAGGGAGAAGGGCAGATTCCGCCCAAGGATGGGACCATCGGCAGATAAACAGCGCGACGTCTGATGGAAACATCTACCACTGCTGCAGAACGCTCGTCTAGCACACAGCTGGAGAACGATGGCTCTAACTTACACATTCAAAGCAGCGTCAGCCTGGTTCCTTCAGCTGCTGGTTATATGGACACGATGAGACGAAACCATGTAAATCAAAGGACAACGCTGCTTTGAAGGCAGATGGCCAGGGAAACTTTTACACTAGAAACTTGAAGCTGTCTTTTCATCACGAGAGCAGTGAGGTTGTGGGACAGCCTTCTGACGGGAATAAACTGCTTTTAACATTGGGTTAGGTTTGTTTATGAAGGCAATTACATGAAGTAGGTAGACGTTTAATAGAAGCTTGAATTGAATCACCCAGAAGGTCTCTTCTCGCATCAGTCTCCGAAGTCTATGTGCCTATAGCCGTGCTGGGCAGAGAGGCAGGACTCGGTTCGCTTAGCACAGCACTGCCTTTCAAACTGCTCCCAGACCTGAGCTGGTATCTCCCTGTGGGGCTACATCACACCCCCAGGGTGTCCCCAGGGCGGGTTGTGGGTGCTCCCAGCATGGACGTGGCACGGCTGTCCGAGAAGACCCCATGCAGCAAGCGCCACAGCAGAGGAGATGAAACCACGAGTTTGCCCCTCGCAAACCAAGGACCTGTGGCAGACAGCAATGCTCTGCCATGGCACTTGTTCTTTGGAGGAAGGGTTTTAAATGAGGATCTTTGGTAATTTTATGGGTCCAGGTGGGAAAATTAATATGCGTGGGAAGGCCTGGGAAGTGCGTCTGGCTGATGACGCGGTATCATTTAATCCAGCAGGACTGTGCTGTTGGGAGGACCATAATGCCGGCCTGGCCGGCCGTAAGCTGGCACGCACAGCGGGAGTCATGCGAACGCCACGTGGCAGGGTGACGTGGAAGACGGATGAGTGGCACATGCCGTTCCCAGACTTTGACAGCACAAATTGGCCTTTGCAGTCGGTCACCACATGCCTTCCTAAAGCTCCTCTTCGATCTCACAGCTCCACTCTGCATCTGAGTCATGTACTACAGGAGAAAGTCAGGTGTTTTCTGGGGAGAGCAGGGGCAGAACAACATTTTGTCATTTCTCAATCCCGTAACAAACGTCACTAAATCAATAGTCCTCACCTCCTCCGTGCGAAGCCAGTATTGTTACACACATTCAAAGATCAACATTTCTAAACTACACTTTGATCTTGAGATGCCTCGTTAAAAGTGACATAAGGATTTAAAAACAGGGACCGACTGGGAAACTTTTTATCCAGTTGACTTGCGCAAACCCACAGCTGCAGCGGAGGCTTGTCCACTCAAACCAGTCAGCACAGTCCACTCAAACCAGCTGCGGTCCACTGAGGCTTGTCCACCCAAACCAGTTAGCACATTCTGAAGTCCTGTAGCAGGGCCCTGAGCATCAGCCTGCTGCGATGAAAAGACCCTCTCTGACCGAGCTCTCTGGATTTATTTTAAAGTTTGGAAGTAACACGACTTAAGCATCGCAATCCAGAGGAACGGTGCGGCAGCCTAAGCCCTGATGAAAAAATGAAATGAAAATGGAAGAGGCAAAGGGCTGAGACACTCCAGCGTCCTCTGGAGCAAACCAGTCCAAGACGGGCTTTTCCGGGGCACTCTCCCACCTGTCCTTATTGGAGACAGGCGTCCCACGCCAGCACAGCCCCGCGCCCTGCCCCTTTAAGCGCCTGTACGACAGGGTACTGAC